CCTAAAACCCTGTTTTGGAAAATCATTCTTTTTCCCACAAATGTGTTAGCACATGGTAGGTTTCTTATTGATGATTCTAAACGAACGTAGTTAGCAAATCTTTAAAACATCACCAATTTTAATTCCTAACATACATAAACGTAGAGGAACCCCATATACAAAGCTCTCGGGTGCGGAGCCTGGAGAGGGAAAGCACTCTGAGACCCAGCTGGAGGACCACACTCCCATGTGTGGTCCTGGTGTGGGAGCAGGAAGCCGGGGGGGTGCACGGATGCCATCCGGCCGGGCGCTACAAGAGAAGCTTGCACCAGGCGCAGCAAGAGGTGTCCGCTCGGCCTCACGGGGGATGTTAAGGGGTTATTTGGGGTAACTCAGACTACATGTGTTTTCTGTTTTTCCCCACTGACCCTGGAAACAATCCCTGAGGCCACGTGACTCCTCACACACATGCAGTGAGAGACACCCCTGTTGCTGCTCCGGGGGGGGACCCCCTGCTTCCCCGGCGTGCACTTCCTCACATGCACCAGGCTCTTTCCGCCACCCTCTCGGCTCAGGCCCGGCGCTCTCGGCCCAATCAGTGACGGTTCCTCCTGGGCCCTGCTCCCATCTTCCACCCACACTCACCTCCCCCAACCCCCGTGCAGTGCCCTGGCAGCCTCATGTTCAAGACTACGATCCGTGGCATCCTGTGGGAAGCCACCTTCTACCCTAAACCAACTGGACAAGAGCAACTCCGTGCCCCACGTGCCTGGCCTGTATCTGATTGGGACAGGTGCGCAACAAACCCAGGGGAATGAAGGAAGGGGTGCCCGGCTGGCTCAGTTTGGCACACAACTCTTAATCTCAGGGTCACGAGTTTGAGCCCCACGTTGGGCGTGGAGCCTACTTAAAAAAAGAAAGGGAATGAAGGAAGAGACAGGGAACAGGCCAAGGCTCAGGCTAAACCAGCCTTTATTTTTGTTTTCTTCAGTCCATTTCTGGGGCTGATCTCACAGTCGTGGCCTTTTCTCACCCTTAGAAAGGAAGCTGCTAGCCTCGGCACCAGTGTGAGGACCACGATCAGGCCCAGGGGGCAGGTGGGCAGCCTGCTGTGCTCCCCCAGGCTGGCTGTGGTGCAGACATGGTGGGCGGGTGTCAGCAAGCGGACGGACAATGAAGGCGGTGGAGGAGACAGTCTCCGCCGTGAGCAGCACTGGCAGGGAGACGCTGGCCGGCTGGCCCCAGCTCACAAGGCTTCCGAGCCGTGTGCGTGCAGTGAGTGATGGTGCCTGTGAGCTCATTTCGGAGAACCGGAGGCCACGGAAGAAGCTGTCACTCACTCACTGATTTAACCACCCGACCACTGTTTCTTCTGGAAGGTGGTGGCACGTACCTGAGCGCTTCTGGGGCCACCGTGGACTGCCATGGGCGTGACACTGGCAGGGCACTTCCAGGCCTTTCTCCTCCACAAGAGAGAGCGCACAGCCTGTCAGTGGCGGCTGGGATTTAAACCCACACACTCTGGCTTCAGAGCCTGTGATCTCAGCTACTAAACCATGTTGCTGCTCAGTAAGACATTCTGAGCTTTCCTTTCTCTTGGAAATCAGAAAAAGAGTAGATATCAGGATGCAGAGGCTGTTCTTTCAGCGGCAGGCCCGGGTGTGCGGAGATGGCTGGAGGGCGGCCGGGGATGTGCAGGAAGGGGAGCCGCCCCAGGTACTGGAGGAAAGCTGTCCCAGCCGGCAGGTCAGGGACTTGAGCGCTGGACTGCCCAGTGAAAAAGAAGGGGTCGTAAGCGGGGGGGGGGGGCTGGAAAGTCACATAAGGACAGCAGGGTGCTCGGAATCTCACCGAGCTGACCAGGTTCTGAGAAACCAGCCAGAAAGGCAAGGAAGAACAGAGAAGGGGGAGGTCAAAGGGTAGCGGCCAGGACTGAACGAGTCCAAAGGCAGATTCGGAAAGGATTTCTCCTGAGCCACGTGTGACGGTGCCACTGAGAGCTGGGCTTGGGGACCAGACAGCAGGTAACCTGCCTGGCACAGCACTGGACACCCAGCAAGTGCCTGATAATCAGCCCTCCACACTCTGTGACTCACAGCTCTAGTCCTTCTGGTTCACAATGAGACCTTAAACTGTTCCTGCTGGAATCAAAAACCTTTCAGGGAAAGACTAGCAGCAAGACGCTAGCAGGTACAGCTGGCAGGCACCTCCCAAGACAAGCCAGACACCTGCTCTCGCAGGTGTGCACAGGGCTGGGTGAGAGGCCCCGGCCACCGTCTTCTGTGAAGCATACACAAACCAGCCTGCAGAACGCCCTCTTCCCAAGTGTCTGGGGCCTGCAATGCGTCCTAACTCCCGGATGCTGCGGCTGCCATCACAAACCCCACAGCTGGGGCTGAGAGCTCAGACACTCACTCTCTCCCCACCCCGGGGGTTGCAGGTCCCAGACGAAGGTGTGGGCAGGCTAGTGCCTGCTGAGGCCTCTCTATGTGGCCTGCAGACTGGCATCTTCTCATCTTCTCCCTATGTCCTCATGTGGTCCTCCCTCGGTGCACATCTGTGCTTGATTTCCTCATGTCCCCGTCACTGGGATCAGGGTCCACCCTACTGACCTCACTTTAACCTAATCACCTCTTTAAAGACCCTCTCTCCAAATAGAGTCACATCTTGAGGTCCTGGGGGTCAGGATGTCAACATGTACATTTTCAGAGGGCAACTCAGCCCCTGAGAGCTCCCTTTCAAAACCGTGTAATCTTGGGATGCCTGGGTGGCTCAGTCATTGAGCGTCTGCCTTCAGCTCAGGTCATGATCCCATGGTTCTGGGATAGAGCCCTGCATCGGGCTCCCTGCTCGGCAGGAAGTCTGCTTCTCCCTCTCCCACTCCCCCTGCTTGTGTTCCCTCTCTCACTGTCTGTCAAATAAATAAATAAATAAAATCTTAAAAAAAAAACAAAAAACACAAAAAACCGTGTAATCTTATTTAAACAGTAGACCGCCGCCATGACCCCCTAGGCGCCAGTGTGCTGCAAGCAGCCTTCCCAGGAGTCAGACTTTTGAGCTCTGAGGTTGGCGGTGTCCCAGCCCTAGTTCAGAGGTAGGCAGCACGGGGGGTGGACTGACCTGCTCAGGGGCTCCTAGCCACAACACACAGGACCAGGATTTGAACCAGGCAGCCTCCCCCAGACCCCAGAACTCTCAGGCCCCGTTCTTGCTAGAGAGCAGCCCTGCAGGGACAGGTGGGCCTCAAGTTACGCAAGCGCCTTGCCCTCCCCCACGTGAGGACAGGTAACTGCCGGCCTTCCCTGGAGCAGGCTTAGGAATCCACGTCTCCCTGCTCCTTGTCTTCGGCACCTTCCCCCGGCTGCCCCCGCACACATGCCTCACGACGCACCTCATGCATTCCCCAAGACTAACCCCAAAGCATAAATAAATAAAACACGGATTAAAAACCTGTACATATGGGCGCCTGCGTGGCACAGTTGGTTGAGCATCTGCCTTCGGTTCAGGTCATGATCCCAGTGTCCTGGGATCGACTCCTGCATCAGGCTCCCTGCTCAGCGGGGAGTCAACTTCTCCCTCTGCCCTTCTCCCCTCTCATGCTCTCAATCTGTCTCTCTCAAATAAATAAAATCATAAAAAACCCCCAGTAAAATGAAAACAAAAACCTGTACATGAAGTCCTGTCTTGTTCTCTCTCTGCTAATGGAGGAGGGCAGACAGTGAGCACCTGCTCCGTGCCCGGCACACCCCCCCTTAGCAGCCCCGAGGAACAGGGCTCAGGAGGAAAAGGGAGCACCCAGTGGCCAAGAGCGAGAGTGGAGATGCAAACTTGACCACTCTGCCTGCGTCATGGTGGACATGAGCACTATGAGCGGAGTCCCCCAGTTTTGAGAAAAACACTAGTAATCTCAAAGGGAAGAGCTGGGACCGTGCAGACAAGACAGGGGTAGGCTCAGACCACGGTGCATGCAGATGCCATTCCTCCTGAGCCCCTGTTGGTAGGCCAGACCCTGGCATGGATCCCGACGTGGAGGGCCCCACGCTCAGGTGAATGCTCTGCTGGGCTCATCTCAAAATTCTTCCTACTTTTTGGACGGGGGACCCACACTTTCACCTTGCACGGAGCCCTGCAGTGACACGGCTGGTCCTGCATCCGAGGACAGGTGATGAGGACACGGATAGTCAGATGACTCCAGACGGAGGGAGCCCAGCGCTCCTTAGTGACATGCTCCCCCTCTCCCACTGTCACCTCGGCTCTGTCACCACGGAGCTGCACGCCATGCCACCTTCACCGCATTGGACTCCGCGTTTATGCCTCGTTCAAAGAGCTCATTTTGGTTCAGAAATCAAAGGGCAAATATTTTTAGACGAGCTGGTCAGCAAAGACAGTGTCTGTGATCCTGACATGACGAGCATGTTGTCTTCTGACATCAGGGGGAACCCACTCAGGTCCACCAATCAAAGACAGTTACCAGACCCCTCAGTTCCTAACCAACCACTTGGTGGCTCACACACATGAAATCATGGCGTCACTAAGCAGCCATACTGAGCGGCGACCGGCATATAACAAAGTGCACATATATGTGTGAGCTGATGAGTCAGGACACCTGCGCACACCCAGCCAGCAGCCTCCTGCCCCCGTCTGTCTCGCCAACCCCAGCCCCCCCCCCCCGTCTGTCTCCCCCACCCCAGCCCCGCCCCCAGGCAACCACGCAGCTGCCTTCTGTCACACAGGTCGGTTGCTGGCACTTTCTAGAATATTCTTAGGAGCGGAATCTGCCACGATTGTTTACCCATCTCGTCTCCTCAGTCCCGACCCCGAGGCCTCAACACGTCATGTTTTCTTCCCATAGACTTCTCGAGGCCTCAGATTCCCTTGCTGACCCTCCGATGCTGGTCCAGAACTTTCATTATAGACCACCATAGTCTGTGTTAGATGACAAATGTCACAGACCATGTCTACAGACAGAGGATACAGACGTCATAGTCCAGACGACAGATGACAC